ACGGAACATCTCATTTACTCTCCGGAATACGCGTTTTCTCCGTCTTGACCGTTTAACTGTCTTGGTATATTATATAATATATACTCTGTCACATTTTAAAGTATACACTGTGTTAAAATAAAAATAGCTAGTTTCACAATGAGTCGATATTCTTTAAAATTTCAGGAATACGAATTCAATCAATTTTAAAAACGAAAACAACAACAACAATACGGAATGTTGACATAACAGGTTTATTGACGACTTACAAGAGCGTGGGGTGGTCTACAAAAGTAACACGATCAGTAGCGTTGACGACGGCCTGACATCGTCGCCGCCTTGAATCAATCAATTGCTGCACTGCCTGATGAAGGATGTTATTCCACCCTTCATGCGATGCTCTCTCGAGTTAAGGAAATATCTGAGGCTGGGGTTGTCGCATGTTGTTCAACTAATCTCTGGTTCTGCTTGCCGTTTGAAACGATTCCGTAGATGCGACAGGCGTATAAAAAGATCCTCTCTTGGAGTAGTTTTTCTTCTCCCACGTTGGCGGTGTCGATCCTTTCCTGATGTTGGTGTTTTCTAACGATCCATTGGTGTGTACACAGTTCTTCGTGTTACATTAAAATGCTTGCTATAGTGGACATTGAGGCACCCCCGCGGATCATTCCAACGAGCTGGTTTCGCACATTTTCTCGTACGGCGTGACATCGTGAAACGTAGACAAGACGAGTTTTATCACTGGTGAATTGTTACAAACATGGCAAAGCTTTGATGTGTGCTTCTTTTTTTAAACAAATCATTGCCGTATCATGATTAATTTTTAAAAAACCCACGAAACATGTAACACGCATGCAGTTACAAAACCACTCACGCGTTCAGAAATCTGAAAGCAGCTCACCAGTGAGAGGTATAATACGAAATCAGTGTGTAAATTTGAAAGTAATTGGTAGCATTGATTTTGTTTTATTGAGCTTCAAAATGTGTATACTTAAAAATGTGACCTATATATATATATAATAATAAGAAGAAGAAACCTAAAAGTCGTAGACTTGGCTCAGTTCTACCTCTACACTAGATGCCATCTGAGTTGAACTATCATTCACACAAGGTTGAAATTGACTTAACCCCACACCATACGGTAAGTGAACTTCTTATAATGGGTAAAATGAAGTTTGTAATATAACTCCGTAATCCAGAAATAGCTTCTATGCAACACATACAAATCAATTTTCGTTTTTCGTTTTTGCATAATCATTATCGCAGCCAAGGGCAGCTTCACATATCACAACAGCTCAATTCATACTTTGTGGGAAATAAGGGGAAAGAATACTCAAGGACGAAGAGTGACCGTCTCGTGAAAAATAATTTGTAAAGGGAAGCAATCAGGAGTAACAATGTCAACGAAAGCACAACTTGGGTTGATTTCCTTGTCAGTTAACGATATGCCTCTTACTCTTACCCTTCACAACCTGCTCCAACCGCTCAACCCAAGCCCAAAACCCTAGCCAACCCCCCCCCCCCAACCCCCAAATATCCTACTGAACTCTCAAAAGCTACCCAACTCCCAACCCTATTCATCTCGCCCCTCCCCCAACCTCCCCATCCTACCCCTTCCCATCCCGCTTATTACCCATTCCCTCGAGCTCCCTACCGTACATTACATTATCCCTCCATTCCAACACTAACATAGACCTACTGCTACATAAAAAATAAACAACAATATCAATGTTGTGGGTTTTGTTTATTTTCATACGCCATGCGGATATGCGAGTAGGCTATAGGCTAAGTCTGTTTTCGTTTTCAGGTATACCCACTGCATGCATCCTCAAATTCTCTCTCTCCTTCTCTCTCTCTCTCTCTCTCTCTCTCTCTCTCTCTCTCTCTCTCTCTCTCTCTCTCTCTCTCTCTCTCTCT